GCGCTAGATTTGAGCAACAATATGCTGCAGGACGTGAATTTGAGCGCGTTTACAGCACTACAGCAAGCGGAACTGGCCAACAACTCACTCACCACCATACCACTCAATCAGCGTGACGCAGCGACAAGCAACATTGTATCACTCAATCTGAATAACAATCAAATTGTGCAGGCAACAGCAGTGAGTAGCGCCAACTTACGCGAGCTGCACTTGAGCGGCAATCAAATCACTCAATTGGCGCATCTCAATCTCTCCATGCTGAGCACACTGGAAACACTCGATCTGTCGTGYAATCAAATCGYCGAGCTCGAGACTGCGTTCTTTCCGCAGCGCATGCACTTTCTGAAGCACCTCAATTTGGCWTACAATCGCATTGGCACCATCTACCGGGCGACCTTCTACAATTTGCTCAGCTTGAACACGCTACTACTGAGTCACAACAACATTAGTGATATTGATTATGAGACCTTTCTGGCATTGCCGAATCTACAGTTTTTGGATTTGTCGCACAATCAGTTGCGTGGCGAAGCTATACGTGCGCTCCARGGCATACCAGATTTGGTGCGTCTCTCGATTGCTTACAACCCGGAGGTGGGCGCAGCTATGCAGGAATTTGTTGCCTCGTGGAGCTTGAARGAATTGGATGCAAGCGGTACGGGCTTGTGTCAGATACCGGCGGCCTTGGCACAGTCGGTGCGAACGCTTAAGCTGACCGACAACTGGCTAAAGGTGAGTACATTCAATTTTTCATAATTCAAATAATTTTTCTTATATGTGACCTGGTCTACGAAAAGGTAGCTAACGTGCGAAAACTAGTTTTCTGAGAAACAGTTGTTAACAGAAAAAAAAACATCTCCTCTTCCATCCGAATCAGCTAAAAAGTGAAAATTAATTTTTTGACACCTAAGCCCCTTTTCTGTAGACCAGGTCACATATATTTCAGAAGTCAAAACTGAAAATCGCCTCCTTAGAGTTAAAAAACATTGTTTTTTAAATTTTTTAGTAAAGCTTTTAGAAAGATGTTCTAAACAGAATTATATTGGCATGTAGGGGCGTAAGACCGMAGACGGCCGCACTTAGGCTCAATGTGTTCTCGTGTGGTAACCAAAGTAAGGCGTCAGCGTCTCTTCATCTTCCGCACATACTTTCATTTTGCTAAATTCACTTTTGAAATTTTCGAAAGGTAGGTTTTTCTGTCCAACATCGACACAACCTCAAAGTAACTTTGTGGAGTGTACAATGTGTTGTTAGTGTTCTATGACCTGGGGTTTTCTTCAGTGCGCTCCTGTTCCTATTTCCTCCCTTTTGCASCGTCGCGACGATGAATTTGTAGATTTTGGCGTAGGAATTGTCGACCACTGAACCATTAGTCCATTTTTACTTTGCAGAGGAATCAAAGCATTTTGTTCTCCAACCACGAGCTGACTACTCATAARCATTGCATCATACTTCACTTGAATATGTATTCGGTAGATCCAAGCTTGGTTATTGACAAAAAATTAATTCAATTCAAGAAACTCCCCATACTAACATTCTACCATGACCACAATATCTGGCTACAAAATTTAGCTTAAGAAATCWAGACTGTTCTAATCTGTAAGTAAGTTTTTCAATAARAGCCTACAAARGTTTGGRATATCAATCAAATYCTTTATTCCTGTGAAAGTACATTCGATGTTTGGCTTGTTGGCATAAACTGCAGACTTGAAGWARSCCTACAGGAAATAGTCTAACGTCGTCAAATCGCACGACTGAGACATCCAATTGACTAAGCCATTTCGTGACATAACAAGTTCACTAAAATTGGCGTCAATAAATCGATTGCGACATTYGCTGTGTGGCTTGTGATGCCGACTTCTTGGAACCACATATTGTCCAAGTCCATATCAACCAATTCGGGCCAAAAATATTCGGTTATTATTGAGCGGTAACGATTCCCATTCACAGCAACGTGCGTGTCTTTATCACGACGGAAGAAGTACGGCTCAATGACGTATCGYATATCTTTCCATGATGAAATGACAAACGTTACTGAAGGGAAATTTCAAAAGAGCGGGAGAAATATGGATTCGATAATACTTAGAATGTATCTGATTCTGTAGAAAACACTTAAGGCGAAAGCTGTGCCTTATACTTAGTTATCCACTCCCGAAATCACTTGGAAAACAAGCAAAATTGTGGATTAAACCAGGGTARGTGGCTGCTCCCAAGCTGGTAGCTAGATTTCGTTTCTTTCTTTTACAACATATATCCTTTCTAAGTGTTCGTTGCATATAATGTTCGTCAGCAAAGCAATTAAGCACACTAATACCAAAAAGTACAGCAAAAATCGCTTTAAAAATAAATAAACTCTGTTCAGGCGTTCTCATTTAGCTGATTCCCACAGTATAATTGTAAAACCAACAAATTAAATTTAAAGCATGAACGAAAAAAAATAAGACGGAATGAAGGCAAAAAAATATTTAGTAATATAGACCATCTCGTTAATTCACATTTCTATGGAAAATTCCTTTTGGAAAATGATTTCCAATTTAAACGGCATTTATGGTTTCTTCCCTTGGCCAAACAGCATGAAAACGCTGGAGCACGCCTCCACGACATAAMGCTTCGATTATCACATCCACGAGCAATTGGGTATACTTTTCCTCCATGCGACAATCAAATGCTGAACGAAAAAAGAAACACATTAAAGCTRGGCTATATTAAGCGTTCCCCCACAAGTCGGTGGTGGTGGCGCCCACAACACTGGCAGCCACTAAACCGCGCTTGCGGAAAAACTTCTGAATGGCGCGGCGCGTCTGCTGCTGGCAGCGCATTTGGCGACGCGCTGAAACTCAAACAGCAGCTGAGACTGGCATTCGAATGTCAAATTCGCTCTTTCCTATATTTGCGCTGGCAAATTTTGTATTTTTTTGCCACCACAAAAGCAACGTGACAAAAAATTTTGCTTAAAAGTGAAAAAAAAAATTTTTTGCTTAAAGTTTTTTTTCCAATTTTTTTACACTATTATTTTGTCGCATATTTTTCTATCATTACTGTGTGGGAGAGCAATGCGACTTGCGTAAGCTTTACGCACAAAAATCGATAAATGAATGAATAAATGACTGAATGAGCGCGCATACATCAAAAGCGTCGTTATGGCTCTGACAAAAAGTTGTCTGTGTGGGTGTACATAAATGTTCCGGTCTATATGTGTAAGTGTGTGTGTATGTGTGTTTGTGGCCATTGAAGCGCGCACAATTTCGGCGCTTTTACAGCAATTAACAGCATGTTAACACACAAACGCAGACGCACACACATACTCACAGTGAGGAGTAAAGTTGGGAAAAAACTTCAATCGAGGATAACGGTGAAAATGTTCGCAAATATCAAATCAACGCATGAAAATGATGAAGCAGAATGCRCACAAGTCGGTGGCAAGCAACGAAGTTGCAAATTTTCGTCGGAGCAGCGCACACACACATGCACACARATGCTTATGCATGCTTGTTTCACGCATGAACTGCCGACCATGTAGCCGTGTGATATATGTGCCTATGTATGTACATATGTCGATAAGCTTAATAAAGCGTAACACATTTGCTGTAAAGCAGAAAAATTTTTTACATTTGAAACACACACATATATACCTGTCTCTTATACACATCTGCTTAATAAAGCGTAACACATTTGCTGTAAAGCAGAAAAATTTTTTACATTTGAAACACACACATATATACTTGCATGTACTTATTTGCTTACCATATGTTGTATGTATCTATAGGCAGCTCGTTTCAATTACAGTGCTTAAAACAATGCGTTAATGCGAATATAAACCGAAAAGGAATACGGAAAGTGAATAACTGCAACTTGTATATAATTTTGGATGTCAGATTTGCTAACCAATTTAGGTCTATGAAAAATTAATTTTTTTTTTGACAACTTTCGCTGGAACCAATACTACGCAAAAACTGAATAGTAGGCCAAATATCTGGTTGCCCTAGCCACAGGTTTATGTTTTCAACAAATAGAAAGCGCATATTTTTCGATGTCATTTGTGAGAAATAAAAAATGTGATTTTATTTTCCAATGAACTTGTAAACAGATTTGTTAGGTTATGTTGACTGGCAGCTCTACAGTGACTAAAAAAATTCTTAAAAAATTAGCTCATCATTTAAACTACTAATCATCGTGAAAATTTCGTCAGAAGCGTTTTTCAACTTATCTACATTCASATCAAATAAGCCAGTAAGCAGGCAAAGGAGTCATCGGAACGAATATTCGTACTCAGAAAGGCCCTGCCTAAATTTCACTCTGTTATAAATACTATAATACAGAAGCTTCAGAGAAAAAATTGACTCCGTTTCAACAGGTTGGTTAAGTAGATAGAAGTACAGCTCCTTCGGACTCAATAAAGGCTTGACATGCCAACATATTCGAAAAATCTTTAATTCATGTAATTTCCTTCTATGGTTGTGTTTGAACTATTTGGGGTCCTCAATAAAACTACTTATCTCCATTATACCTTTTATGGATAGATCTTCAAGGTTGGGAAAGGTTGCAAGAGTTCGGGTGGATTTGTGATAGCGCTGGGCACTCACATACGAGATGTGTTCAAAAA